TCCTGCAGCTGACCAACTTTTTGGAGATGCAGATTTCATTTTCCAACAGGACTTGGCACCTGCACACAGTGCCAAAGCTACCAGTACCTGGTTGAAGGACCATGGTATCCCTGTTCTTAATTGGCCAGCAAACTCTCCTGACCTTAACCCCATAGAAAATCTATGGGGTATTGTGAAGAAGAAGATGCAATACACCAGACCCAACAATTCAGAAGAGCTAAAAGCCACTATTAGAGCAACCTGGGCTATCATAACACCTGAGCAGTGCCACAGACTGATCGACTCCATGCCACGCCGCATTGCTGCAGTAATACAGGCCAAAGGAGGCCCAACTAAATACTGAGTGCTGTACATGCTCATACTTTTCATGTTCATACTTTTCAGTTGGCCAACATTTCTATAAATCCTTTGTTTTTATTGGTCTTCAGTAATATTCTAATTTTCTGATATGATGAATTTGAGATTTTCATTTGTTGTCATTTGTAATCATCAAAATTAAACAAAATAAACATCTGAAATATATGAGTTTGTATGTAATGTATGAATATAATATACAAGTTTCACTTTTTAAATGGAATTACTGAAATCAATCTACTTTTTCATGATATTCTAATTTTATGACCAGCACCTGTATCTATCTATCTGAGCTTCTCCATTTATCATCTGACTTATCAGAAAACATCAGTTTATGGGGGGAAATATTTCCACCATATGGTGTGGTTTCATTTGCTATAAATAAGATAACTTCATGGTTCATCACATCCATGTTGACGTTTTCTAACATCTGGTAAAAAAATTTAAGTAAAAGCGCAAAATTAACCAAAAATAAATATAAACAGAGCAACAGGTACATAAACTTCAATTAAACAGATCATCAAACATCATAAAAATTACTGTTCCATTAAATTAATTGAAAAATAATCCTATCCTTGCTGCACTGCAGCTGCCATTGTGGTATAGGGTTAAATTTAAATAAAAAAATATAATTAACCAGACAGCGATGAGTCATATTTTTTGTTTAATAGCATTTAAATGATTAGAAATTTAACTCCCAAACTAAAAACATGTTATTTTCTCTTCATCTGACTGTGAGATCAGGTGTAAAGGATACACAGCATAAGCAGCAAACTGCCAGCCTCTGAACTGACCAGCCACACCCACTATTCCTCCTGTAAGAAGAACTGAAAGAAGGAAACAGGAAGGTAAAAATAAAACAATGATCCTTCTGTCACTGCAAAAATATAGCATCTGTTCACTTCTATTGTAATTATGTGGAGGCATTTTACTGTAAGAGACATTCCAGAACAGACTCTGAAAAAGTTTAATGACTTTTCCTCCCCTGTGATTTTAAATTAAATGTTTACTTTATTTAAAGCAAATAGATACTCACTGAGCCCCGAAGCCAGAGCCTGTTCATTGGCCCACATCGCCCACTCGATCTTCCCCATCGTGACAACCTGAGCGGCTTCTAGAGGTGCAGCGGGACGGAGGCAAGGAAGGAAGAGATTGGATTTACCAGATGAGAAGCGCAGCGATTTAAGGCCAGGAGGCAGGGCGTCATTTCCGAAAAGTTGCCTCACCATTAGAGAGGAGGGGTTACTGCAACCTACCGAGCAGGAAATGACCGCCACATTAACTGCGGGTTTATCCCTGCTAACATTTATTTACCTGTAGGCAGTGGCGGTTCAACAACAAACCTACCAAGGCGTCAAGGAGGGGGCCAGCGTGTTTTCATGGGGGCCACTGAAAAGCATGAAATAAAAAAAAAAAAACAGGGCAAGGGATTCAAATATATTAAGATAGCCGCATGATGTGAAATTTCTATTCAATTGGTTTAATTAAAATTTTGTCTTATTAGGTCAATATACATTCATAATTTAGGAATGTAACATGTTTTTTTGACTTAATTTACGTTGCGTAAAAATTCAAAAAAAATTCAAAAAATATCCACTGGACTTGGTTTTCAAGATTTGAAGACGTTTCGCCACCTCTCCAGGAAGCTTTCTCAATTCAAAATTACCGTTTTCTATAAGATCTAAATTATAACTTAAGAAAAACGCATAAATTCAGCTGTAAAAATTTGAGCAATTTGTTTTGAAAAAAATCATTAAGCAGATGAAAACTGGAATGCTATCTCAATACCACTGAAGCTATCACCTTATTGTTTTTGAATAATTAGTAAAACAGAATTTGTAAAGTAAAAAAAAAGGAAATAGATCTGAAGGACCTATCGGTAACCATGTCTGTTCCAGCGCATATCATCATTAGAATTTCTTTGATTATTATGTCTTCAGTACAGGGGCCATAACAGGGACCAGGAGATGATCTACAGGGGCACTGGCCCCCGTTGGTCCAGCTCTAGAACCGCATCTGCCTGTAGGATACTGGATTATTTTCTTTGCAGTAGTTCTCCCAGAGGCATAGCCAGAAAATTTTTATAAGGGTGGCCAGGCAATCAATGGCGTAACTATCGGTAAGCAGAGACTGCAGTTGCTTAGGGCCCCCAACCTCTTAGGGGCCCCGTCACTGACACCTGGTTGGCCCCCTACGCAATTGAGGACTAGGACATCTCTTTGCAAATGGAATGGTGCAAAATAAATTCCTTTTAAACCCACCTGATACTGGGTTGACTGACCGGAGCTTATTTATACCCCAACACATGCCAGATTTCAAAATGATGGTGAGCCATTTAAACACGTTACTAATAGCAAAGCAGACAGTGGTACTTTTAATTACTATGTTATTAACTGTGTATAGTTTATTAGACGGTTGGTAAAAAATACACTCATATGTTTCAAACCGCAATAAAGATCTTAAAAGAACAATGTATTTGAGTTTTTTATTTTTTACGACTTGGAATTATGGGTAATCAAGAGCATAGATTCTAACCATAACTGTTGAGTACAATGTGTGTACGGGGGGGCGGATAAGGGGGTGGGGGTGTTGTACTTCATATGGGGCCCACCCAGATAATGTTGCTTACAGGCCTATTGCTGTGTTGTTACGCCATTGCAGGCAATAACCAATGTACACTGAGGGGTGGCCGAAAGTGGATAGGCGCCAGAAGGTCAGGGTCAATCTACACTATTGCGACAGGAAAATTAGCGAGCACAACAGCCATGTTTTCTAAATAAAGACAAACTATACTTTCCTACAGCCTTTGCTAACAAACAGATGCATATATTTAAACATTGGTGCTTTCTAGATAAAAGGTATAGTGGATACAATTCTTTCAGTTTTGAGTTCTGGGGCAAACATCTCTTCCTTTGTCATTACTTACCTACATTTATCAACAATTATTCTGCATAAAAATCGATATTTACAAGTACTAATATCTACATATATTAAGTTTTTATTTAAATAGTTATTTATCTATGATTTCACTGAAGACTCCTAGATGAGACATCATTTTCTCCTTACCCCATAAAACACAAAATCTAGTTACGAAAAGAGCATGAATTATCATCTTTAATGTTAGTATATTGAAGTGCATAATTAACCACATTATTTTTGTTGTCATGTAATTGTTCATATATGAAAAATGTAAATGTTTTGAATATTCCACTTGAGAGTATTACTGCTGCCACTGTCTGTATTAAAGGGATAGTTCGGTATTTTTGACATGAATCTGTATGGCATCCCGATCACCAGCGGCATGCAATCACACTGACTTACCCCTGGCAGCGTCCTGTGAGCAGAGTTATCTCCCTCCGCCGCGGAAGGAGACATGGCTGTTGTTGGGCTCGCTGTCTGAATGACGGCGCGCACTGATACGAACAGAGAGAAAATAGGACCAATTGATAACGACGTGTGACTTTTTCCACTACAATGTTTTTGGGATGCGAAAATATCACTCTTTTGGACACATAATGTTTTGGGAAGAGAAACGTTTTATTTCGCTGTACCTAAAAACCTGCAGGACTACTTTCGGCTTGACCAAAACTGGACGATAACTCTGCTCACAGGACGCTGCCAGGGGTAAGTCAGTGTGATTGCATGCCGCTGGTGATCGGGATGCCATACAGATTCATGTCAAAAATACCGAACTATCCCTTTAAAGGGGAAAAATAGTAGGGGTGGCCAATAATTAGCTAAGGGTGGCCATGGCCACCCATCTAGCTCCGCCCCTGAGTTCTCCCCAATTTGCCGAGTAATTATAAAAAAAAAACGTTTTCCAGGAGTAGTAATAATGATATAAATGATAGACCAGATACCATTATCTTGAGAAAAAATATATTTTATTTAATTTAAACCAGTAAATTTGATGGACCTAAATTGAAAAAGAACTTGACATAAAAAAAAAAAAAATGCCATTCACTGATGCGATTGTCATCTTTTCAGAGAAAACTATGCTAAATATAAAGCTTAACATATTTCTCATTATAAATGCATTAATTTCAATCCTTATTATACAAATATTAATATTCTGAAATTTACATTAAGTTACAATTTAAGGGTATAAATTAAACAAATGTTTATTCAAATTTTAAATGTACAGATCTGCAATTAGTAGAAAATAGAAACGCTTCACCCTGCAAACAATGAAACATTAAGTCTTACAGGGATTCTCAACACCGGGAACATAAAAAGCCAAGTAAAAATGTACATTATGGGCCAATGGAAGATTTGTATGTATTGATTTGTATGAAAAATAAAAAAAAACTTAAAGAAAATGATTCTGAAAACACAGAACTTGATAATAACTGTTCAGAAGCATCAACAATTAAGATATATTATATTTAAAATTTGTCCAAGGAGAAAAGGAGAGTTAAAACATGGATGCATCTACACATAAAAATGAACAGCAACGAAAAATAAATGCAAAACAGTCATCAGATTTTTTATTGTTTTTTAATGTAACTGTGAAGGTTCCAATAGATACAATAAAATCTATACAGGTACATTTGAGCAATCAGAAAACAATTAGAAACAATAATTGACAAAATTAGAAATAAAATTCTTCATGTTGCTAATGTTGGATTTGGTGAGTAAGACCCTTTGAGGACATTTCTTCACAGTAGAAGCTGCTCAGACCATTTTCTTTGGTAGACCTTCTGCTGAAAGGAGGTGCTGAGAAGGATCCTCGACAACAAGAGGGCCTGGTCCAGCCTGAAAGTTATCAGGAAAAATCACATCTTAAATAATAAAAAAAAGAGACGCATCCTTTGTTTGTATGTTTGTTATTTAAACGTTGAATTAATTTTCACCTTTGTGCTGATGATGTAGTTCACTCCCTTTGGTAAAGGCTCTAAGCCGATACTCTGTTTCAGCTCCACAGTAAGAGCAGCAGACTTGACTGGAAGACCTTTAATAAAACTGAAGATAAGGAGCAACACTTAGAGACATTATTCCAGGAAACAAACAGCAAGCACACCTACTAGGTAAACAACAGTTTAAAACTTTTTATGAAAGGTAGCATCAGGTGTGTATTGTTTTTTAAATTTATATTATATATATTTATTTTTTTGGGGGGATATAATCCGGCTGCTTTTTTTTTTTTTTTAAGTCCATATAGCTAACCTTGCATATAGTTGATAAATCTAGATTTGTGCACCTGTCCTTCTGTTCCTCCAGACTTAAGCCCTTGTCTGAAAGTCCCGCACGATTAGGCAAGAGGGAAATTCCCAACACATTTTATGAAAATTACTCAGGTGAATATGATTGAGTTATACTCCAAAGCCCTTTGTGCTTTTAATAGAGCCCTGGGATCTCAGAAAATCTAATTAGGTGCTTGTACATGAGAAAGTGATCTGTAAAAGTCATACTTGTTTTCATGTTTATCACTTGTCTATGTTTCAAATTTATAATCAGAAGTTCACCAGATTGATATCAAGGATCCTAAAAGCTATCAAAGCTTCTGGAGACTAAAAATTAAGGTGTAAGGTCATGAGGCCTGAGATCTTCTTACAATCAGATTAACATTTGGCTTATGGGTTCGTCTCACTACATAATAGTCTATAAATCTCTACTTGAAAGAGAAGCTTAAGCTGTTGGAATTCAGTGCAGCTGCTGTGAGATTTGTGCTTGTTTTATATGAGCAGGAAACCAAATAAAATTGATACGCACAGCCCTTAGAAATAACAGGCACCAAAATGTTGTTACACTAAAGTTTATCTGCTGCCCATTGATTAGGACTGTAAAAACTCTACTGAACACATCCCAACAGGTTTCCTTTCATTTGACCTCATATGTGTCATATGTGTTTTAGCTAGAATAGTGACAAATATCTTGTTTAAAAAAAGAGCAAAGAGAAGCATTTTGTGCATTTTTTTTGCGGCACTAGTGGCTCGTTCTTGCAAAGTAGGTTGACAGGAACAATCAAAATGAGCCTAAATGATATGCTCATTTTAGATGTCTATGGCACAGGCAGAGGCAAAATTGTTTTTTTTAATAAAAATTTTATCTATTAGGATAAAAAAACAAAGAGATGGTCAGCTGCAGGGAATGTACAATCTGTACTGTCTGAAAGCATTATTAATTTAATATGCAAAATAAGTTGAGGAGACACTTAAGATGATGATGGAGGGACATGAGTGTTAGGAGGATCACTGGGAGTTTATGTAAAATTGCATCAAAACCTGGAAGAGTGCTCCCTTTCTCTTTCTTTCTGTCTGACCAATAAAGAGTTCCATGAAATCAGACTTACATTAAAAGCCAATTGTAGATAAATTGGTACTTTATAATGTCCAATGAAAAGTAAAAGTACACTGAACATTAAGGGGTACTAAATAGTCTGCTGTAGTTCTAAACAAACACACACATTTTGCACATTTACTTTTAATTGTAGTATGACATTTTTAGAAATTATTATTTTTTTCCTTAAGGTGTAAATTTGAGTCTTTGTTTTGTTTTTATATTTTATCTCTATTGTGATTCTGGATGCTTTCATTTGCCTTTCAGTTTGCTGCTGGGACATCCGAATATATCCCACTTTACCACAAAACAGGATCTTTCTAACATGATCAGTTCTTCTCAAATGTAGGAAAAGTAAACTAAAATAAAAATGAATTGTTACTCATAAACCCCGCCAAACAAAAAAAAAAAAACGCCACATACTCTTCTCCATTTCTGTCTGGGGGAAAGAAGTGTTGAACCAACTGGACAAACTCTGGAACAAACTGCTGCAAAGCAAAGATCACAGCATTGGGACCAGCATCGAAGCTGTAGGCCACCTACAAGAGAGCAAACAGAGCGACGAGCAGCTCAGGAGATGCACTTTCAGGTTCCTCATTTTAAAAACAACCTTGGAGGTTTCACATCTTCATTACACAACTTGAGAAGTTCAGCAGAAAAAATTAGGCAAACTGGTGTTAGAAGAAATGGAGATAATAAAAAAGACACAAAGCTAATGAGGATTTGTGTTTTCTGACCTGATTTTACCTTTTCTTTTTTACCATTCATTGAGCTATAATTATTGTAATCCTACTGTATATTAATCCATCTTTTGTTTCCAGAACACAAAAATGTTATCATTTTAATCCAAATAAATAACTACAATGATAAAATAATTACAATGACATTTCGTCTTTAGGAGCTGTTCATTTCCTCACCCTTGTCTCCCCGTAGTATTTGTTATAACGATGCACCAAGTGGATGATATGCTGGGAGACACTGTTGAGGTAGAAGATAGGTGGGTGTGTGTCAAGGCAGGTGGCATGAAGCTGGTTGCTTTCCTTCATGGTTAGCTCTGCGAAAGCAGGAAAGTCCTTTCTTCGCACAGCCTCGATCATGTCTACCATTCGATGTGGAACGATAGCCTCTGCTCGGTGCTATGCACAAACACACAAAGCATACACGCTCTCATCCCCATCTTTCAACTAGACGGGTTCAGAATAAAATGTAGGACTCATAAAAACACATAATTTACCTTTAACAGTAAACTTGTTTGTACGCTGGTCTGCATTCCAGAGGTGCTTCCTATAGGCTTGCGCTCAGCACTGGCCTAAGAAAAGAAAACAGAGGGTTCAATACATACATGTTCAATACATACTCTTGCCAAGACTCAAAACTTTTTTTTTTTTCACTTTCTGAATTGAAACCTGTCTATAATTCATGTTTTAGTTTGGTTATAATATTACGAAATATTGCTATTGGTTAAATGAGAGATATAACGCCAGAATATGGTGAGAAACATGCAATGATATGAGCTGAAACTTCATCAATTAGAAAGTTTACACCAGCTTAAGCCCCCGAAAAGTTACGTTTCATTTTTTTTTTTTTTTTTATGAAAAAAACGTTGAAAACCCAAGGAACTTACTATGTCCTTGACCAATTTAGAAAAGTCGAGATGATTTGATGACTTTTTAAGCTTCTGATTGGTAAATTTTTAAATTTGAGTTCAATGGACCCAAACTTCATGATCTATTTTAGGTCATAAACATGTTTCAACTGTGGGTTTCCAAAATGTTGTTCAACCTTTGGTATGATTCCCAGATGTTCATCTGTTCTGGCCAACACAAGCAGGTAAAAACACTACGGGAATACATGCATACTAATAGTTATATACACGCATAGTTTTTTTTTTGCCATCTGTATTTTACTGGATTATTTATTTTTTTAATGGATTTTTTTGCCTTTACTCACTACATTTGAACACATATTTATAATTTTCTACTCCTCAATTTCTCTCAATTAGCTCGTTACTTCTGCACATATTGACATCGACATGACACCTGCAATATAACAGAGGGAGAAAATCAAGAGAGCAAAAACAATCTGTGCAGTTTAGCACAGTCTGCTTATGGAAAAACACTGATAGCAACACAGACGAAGACAGGAGGCTGGAAAATTGCAGATGATGCATCAGATTTTTTAGATAAAAGACGCATCCAGTCCCTCTGTATTAGATTTTACATTGAAATGTTGACATTATGATTCATGATCCATTTCAAGTTTAATGCTATTTGCAACCTTAATGCTGTGAAAACCAAAACTCTAAAATTATTAAACCTCTCGTGCATTATTTCTGTTCAGTTCAATCTATATCGTCCCATCTAAAAGTGTTATTTTAGAACGAAAACTGTATTTTTTCTGTTCTCCCTACCAACACAGTGAGCAAAAGAGAAATTTTCTGTGCAAAGAATGTTTTTTTTTTGTAAGAATAAAGTTTTTAAAGGTTTGTTCAAGGCAAAAAAACTTAATTTAGCTTTTGAACTTAATGACTTATTTTATACTTTTAGTTAAGTAAAGGAAGTTCAATGTCTACTTTACCAGTGTACTGTACAAAAAAAAAACACATACCCAAACAGACAGGTATGGGTACCTTAAGTAAAAAATGGGAGTACGTTTAACATCTCTGCTCACACCTTGTCGCATTTATGCGTTAATCTGTGGTATGACTCAGAATGCTGATCATCGGGGAGAGGACTGTGAGCGTGAGAATGTTAATCCAGAGTTTAAGGTCACTTTTGATTCTTTTATTATTTATCATTTTTGACAAATCGCTTTGTATAGTTATAGCTCAGTGCTGCCAGCATATATAACATGCTGGTTTCAGACCTGATAAAGTCAATCTATGATTTAAGTTTAAAAATAAGTTAAATTAAATGTCAGAAAGGAATTACAGTGCTATATGGCTAGAATTCTCAACCTCACCATCTGTGTAACCAGTTTCCCCCAAGCTCCATAATGATCTTAATTTTTGGGTCAGAACTAATATGAGGTATTACACATTTTCACATAAATTTTGTTATTTATATATCACCGCATTTGCATGGAAAGTGGCGTACACAAGTTTCAGGCCCTGTTTTGAATCTACTCCAGCTGTACAATGGCAGCCAATGTAATGAACAGCATTACATTGGCTGCCAGCACATTATAAGATTGATTTTTAAATCCTTTTATTTGCTTTTAAAGCTCTTAATAGTCTTGCCCCACCCTTCCTGTCTGAGCTGCTAACCTCTCGCTCCCGTGTCACACCTTGACGATTTAGCCAGTGTATGCCTAATGTACGAATAATCTGGCAAAAACACTGGCATACGTTGGATAATTTATGGGTACGCTTTGTATAAGTTATGAGCACGCTGAAAAATGCCGGCAAACGTCGACATATGGAAAGTACATTGCGAAGGTATAACAGCATATGCTCATTCATGGGTCATACGTTACAGGCAAGTTATCTGATTATTGACCTATGTTTAGTTAAGTTACTCATAAGTCGTGGTGTGTAACCTATGAGTAACGTGTGCACAACTTATGCGTAACTTTTCAAGAACTTATTTCCAACGCATATCAACATATTTAACATGTTCCAGACGACCACTGGACAAGTTTTTAATGCGTATTGGCAGCATTTTGGTATGAAAGGGGGTTCACAGGAGGAAACGTTCTGAACCCTTGCAGACTGAACCCCCATCATAGGTTGAGTGAGAAGGTGAGTGTGATGGATCCTCCCTAAGTTCATGCCCACTGCCAACAATCTTTCTAGCAGACATGACGCTGAATCTGCTGCGACTGGAATCCTTCTTTCGTTCTTTTTCTTTCTTCTTCTTTTTTGTGGTAGGTGGTAAACAGCAGCTAGGTTAATACCGCAATCAAAGAGATCTTTTTATGCAGGCCGGGCTGCCTCTGGACGCATTGCTGCCCCCCTCAGGAGACTGGCTTGTGACATTTCATGGGCATTACGCTGCCATGCGTTATGCATAAGTTAGGCTGTCCTGGACAGAAGTTCTGGACTCATTATGAATATGCTATGCGTACGCCCAAAATGGAAAAAAAAATGTTTTAGGAGATTCTGGGACGTCAGCCATATGCTGGCTAAATGGTCAGGGTGCGACAGGGGCCGCCTTAGATCAGTTGTTACTGAGGGTGCCAAAGACAAAATGCAAGCTCAGAGGGGACCATGTGTTTTCTGTTGCAGCCTCTAAGCCAGGGGCGGGCAATTCCAGTTCCTGGGGTCCGGTATCCTGCAACTTTTAGATCCATCCTTGGTCCAACACACCTGAATCAAATAGCTGAGTTACCTCCTCAGTATGCAGTCGGTTCCTGCAGAGTCCTCCCAATTATCTGATTACTTGATTTAGGTGTGTTGAAACAAAGGCACATCTAAAAGATGCAGGATACCGGCCCCCAGGAACTGGAATTGCCCACCCCTGCTCTAAGCTGTGGAATGACCTTCCCTTGACCATTAGACAGGCCTCTTCTCTTTCCTGTTTTAAGCCTCTTCTTAAGACCGATTCATTTTCCTTGGCTTTTAACACAATCTGAGATGTTGACTTTGTCTTACTGCGTTTCTTTTATTATTGTTTTTTTTTATTACTTCTTTTATACACCACTTAATGTATTGTTTGTATGATTGATTATTTGCATTTTAAGATTGTGTATAGCACTTTGGTCCTGTTGGGTGTTGAAAGTGCTTTAAAAAAAACTTAGTATGGTATTCCTAACAAACTTAAAAACAGAAAAAATATATAAAGTCTGACTATATGTCCACTGTGAGAAAAAAAGGTTATGAATGTTTATATATTGATTATTTATTCTCCAGATGCACAGTATTTATATTATAATTATTGTAAAAATACTGTATAGCACAGTATTATACTTTTTTTTGGTTTTGTTTTTTACTTGAAAAAAGTGTATAAACATAACTTATTCTGTTGTGTTTATGCACTCTTTAAGGTCCACATTTGTTTGACCACTTTTGCCACAAACTGTTGCTGCTGTAACACTAAAGTTTCCCCATTGTTGGACAATAAAGGGATTTTCTATTACTATTTATATATATTTTAATTATTTTAATTAGCATGAACCAAATAATCAGGGTGCTGTACTAAATGCTTTTTACATGTGGATACATACATGGCAACAATCATTTGCAGAGAAATGTATAAATCTGACCCACCACTAGAACAAGAACCCAGAGTTCCGGCCAGTGGCTCTCTGGCTCCACCTGCTGAGCAACGCTGTCCTTCCCATCCTCCTTGCTTCCCAGGATCCATTGGACAAACCCACCATACATGCTTCTGCAGGCACTGCCTGAGCCTTGACGGGCGATCCCTGACAGCTCTCCTTCCACACCAAATGCCTGGGCTAGTGTATAAACTGCAAAAAGAAGATGTAAACAACAATATAAATATGTTACAATGAAACAGTTTCTATTTTTTGGGAACTATAACAGTGGATTACAAGAAATACAAAGGCTCACCCAGACATGCATAGCCAGCTGCTGAAGAGGCCAGTCCAGCAGCAGTGGGGAAGTTGTTAACAGAGCAAATGTGGACTTTATGAGACAGTCCCACGGAATCAGTCGAACGAGGGTTTCTTTCACTGCGTCTCTTCCTTGCTAATCTTCTGACTAAGTAGAAGAAAAGAAATAAGTGCATCCAATTTAGAAGCTTAATATTTCTGTACTCTAAACGATTTTAAAGTGCAAACCCCAGCAGAGAGGACTCACTCTCTCTCAGGCAGGACTGAAGTCTTGGATGAGAAATGTCCTCTTCTTTGCCATTGAGCCACAATCTGTCCTCCTTAAAGGATCTGCTGATTGCAACTGTCGTTGTTGTTTTTAACTTAACAGAAAACAATACAGGAAAGATTTATACATCTATTTTTGCTTTACACCATCATAGCTCTGCTCAAACTTTAAAATATATAGATAAATTAGTCACCCCTGGTTACAATAAAAGGTTAAAATAAAAATAAAAAACTATAAAATGGCACAGGAAAAAACAGTGTTCCACTTTTTAACACCATTACAAAAAATAAATTATGACCAGAGTTGGTAAACTTTGACATATTATGATCATTCCATTATGCTAATGTTATTGTGAAATTTTAATTTTCAATTATGATTTATATTAAAGCTAACTTTAGTAGCAGGCTTTATGAACAAGAAATCCACTGAAAGATATACATATTTTCTGGGCCCCCGAGTTTTACAGACAGTCAGGTGTATTAGTCTTCCAAGCATTGTACAGAAACAGGTCGGGGAGGGGTAACAATCTTACTGAATTGGACTGGATTTCCTGTCATTTCAACAGGACAAATAAAGAATTGCATTATAGAACCTCGGACTAATTAAAACACGAGCATGTTACTGCAAAAACAATACTTTACTGACTAACAGAGTAGGAGGAACTAATGTTTGTCATGCATTAGCTGTGAATAAAGCTTAACTGATATTTTTCACCTACCTGGTCTTGATGCAGAGTGACGCTTAAAGATGAATTGATGGGTAAAATTAAATCTTCGTCCCTCTTGCCCCCTGGAATATGAAGCGTTTCATTCATTAAACCGACAAAAAAGCGTTTAAAATGTCAATTAATTTGTTAATTAACAGCGAATAGAGCAATTTTAAACCAGATAACATAAAGGTGAGAAGCTTTAGCAGTCAGTCGCTACTATAACCACTCAGTTATAGTTACATTTAACGTGTACTTACAGTATTTAATAACAGCTATATTCATAGGAGCCGTGCAGGTAACCATACACGGTGTGTCCATGTTGTCTTCATGCATCGCTCTGTCTGTAAACCCGTTTTAGCAATTAGAAAATAGCATCAATTCAGCCACTCTGAAGGAAGAGTTTAAGTGTTCAGCATTATCTGTAAAGCTAATTCAACCACACTGTGTCGTTTTCCTAGCAAGCTCTTATGATTGGCTGATTATAAACATGTGGTTTTACCATTCACCAATCAGCTCACACATGCTTGACGTAATAGTCCAAGTGGCCAATCAGAGACCATCTGACCACGGTCGCGCAGAAGTGGGGCAAGGACACGCGCCTATAAAGAGTTTTTAATGTAGCAAATGAAGTTCTGAAAACAGCTACAAATAGGTGCATACCATTGAATTAAGACATTAGAATGAATTAATATTAGGGTCTAGATTTATGAGAAAATGCAAAATATATTTTAAGGAGGTCCTCCATAATACACACACAGGTTGACATATTTGAAGGGCTTATTTATCTAAAATCTAATATGACACACGAAAAATGGACTCCAAAATTGTTTCTAAGACTGAACATTTGACATTATATATATATGTATTTAAAAGAAACGTCATGGACTGAAAAGTTATTCCTTGTACTGAATAATCTAATTTGTAAGAGTTTGTAAATTTAAATACACCTCTAAAAGTTTGTAAGCAGTGAGAAGCAAGAATCAGTGTAAGATTTCTTATCTGTATGATCATGGACATTACTGCAATGACTTGATCATGCTTCCTACAATGTGACCTTACCATTTGGGGCAATGTGATCCATGTCCAGTCCGAGCATCTGCATTAGCATGTATAATGCAAGGTTATAATACTTTGGAGATATAAGCCAACAACTAATACACTCCAAACAGTCCTCTGCCACCCATCCATTTTCTAACAAGCTTAGTCACAAGCGGAGTCACGAGGGGTGCTGGTGCCTATCTCCAGCTGTCAATGCGAGAGGCGGGGAACACCCTGGACAGGTTGCCAGTCAATTGCAGGGCAACACAGAGACAGACAGGACAAACAACCATTCACACACTCACACCTAAGGGGACTTTAGAGAAGCGCCCTGCAGTCATGATTTCGGACTGTGGGAGGAAGCCGGAGTACCCGTAGACAACCCACGCATGCTCAGGGAGAACATGCAAACTCCATGCAGAAAGACCCCAGGCCGGGAATCGAACCCAGAACCTTCTTGCTGCAAGTGCTACACACTGAGCCACTCAGTAGCCCCAGTCTTCTGCATGTGATTATTAAACAAACTGATATTGTAATCTTGTTATATTGCGCAGCCCTTTCCAGAAATAATGAATCACATCAGCAGACGCTCCAACCACTGCTTCTAAAGGTGTTACAAAACTCCCTTTCACTTGAAAAGAGACTATGGGTGACTGAGCAGTAGCCCAGTTTGTTGTTTCTCTGGTTTTGGAATATCTGAACACCAAGAAGATAGGAGGCCAAGTCTCCGCATGGGGCCACAGTCCACCCTCAGACCTGTAAGTTTGAGGGCGTCGGAATTTTTTTCCTCCTACTCAATTTTTCCATTTAAAGGCATCTAAACAATATAAAACTTCAATAATAACTTATAGTGAAGCATCCTCAATGTGGATGAGTAACAGACTACTGGAAAACTGTCCAGTCAGCAATCTTTTCAAGGATTTGACTGGTCTCATGTCAATTTTTTTCCCCTGAAGAAATGGGAATTTTCATTAGTCAATAGCTCTTTAAAATAAAAACGAAACACTAAAAATACATGAGTCCCTAATATGTTTAAAAAATATAATTACTGTAACATTTTGATTAGATTATGTACAAAACTTTAATCGACAATTGCATATGAATGAAAGTCTTAAGACTGAATGACCTGTATCCTGGCAGTGACATTTTTACGGTTTTTCTCTAACAGTACTTTGAAACAATAGTAATCTTTGTTTGGATGATTATATTCAAACCTGAAAACCTTATGTATGTAACTAAAGGAAACTGCTTCATTTGCACAAGTTGATAAATAAAACATTGGTATGATGGAAGAGAATAGCAAAAATTAAGGCTTTGTTTTTTATTATTTTAATGAAAACTTTAGCAATACGAGTCTGCAACAAGAAAACTATGTAAGAGCAATGATCAAAGCTACCAGGATGTTAGATTTGAGTAAATAAGATTACAGAACAGTTCAGATGAATTAATCATAAAGAAATTTTTGTGAAGAGGAGTCAGAGTGCTTTCAGCTATCATGGGCACATCACAAGCTGTACAAATTTGTAGCAACTTGAGTGAGAAGAGATTACAAAAGAGCCTTCGTTAACACTCTGTACTTTTCTGAAACCACCCTCAACACAGAAAAATATTAACCTATTGTCCTTGTTCTTCTGTTTAATGTATCCATTCCAAGGAAAGGAAACGTGTGTATTTGATATAAATACACAGTTCAGAGATCTTTGCAGAGTCCTGGCAATGCAGATCACTTCCTCGATCTTTTTTTTTTTTTGTCGGATTCCAGGGCTTCAGTCAAAACTCAGTAATCATCCTCGTCGTCCGAGTCCATCACCCTCCGTCTGTTGAACTGCCAGCCAGACACAAAGCACAAAAATAAGTGGGACATAAAACCATTCAATCATGCAAGACATTATACAGGGTCTTACTGTAACCGTTGTCTTTTTCTCCGTTTGCTGGCTGATTTTTTCTAGGATCTCAATTAATCCAGACTCAGAAATCTGTTTAAAGAGGAAAGTTGCTTGTTACTCCTCAGCGGAGCTGACAGAATGAACCGTTTGATGTCATTTCACCTTTCCTCCCAGCTTTCCAAATCGTGCCATCTGAATAAGATAGTTCTCGACTGCGTTGGCCTTCTCAGGCTTCACCAATGCAAGATTGCTTACTGAAAAATAATAAATTAGATGTAAGTTTATATATTTATGAGTTCATGCTTTTAGGAGAAAGACACGACTGTAAACACCCACTCACATCGTGCTCGAGCAGACTGATCCAGTACTTGAGCTAATATTGAGTTCCTCATCTCCGTTTCTCTGAATTAAAAAAAGAGCATCGTCACAGTATCAGTTTAAGAGGAAACCCAGGTAAAAGACAAAACAATAAAATAATTCCATTTAGTTATAGATAAATCATAAGATCTGCTGAGAACTTCAATGACAGGTATCCAATGTTCAGAATGACAACATACATGTTTTTAAGAGATTTACTTGCATGAATATTCACAGGATTTTTACACACTTTGAAATTGTGGAATAAGGGATGTTCAGATCAAGATTTGCTTTTGACCCTTGTTAAAATTTGGTAAGAATAAGCAGATAATTGACCATTTCATATGAACAGATCTGCATCCTGCAAACCCAAAGTATAATAAAGCTATAATAAACAATACTAATTTTATGCCCAACACCCGTGTAGCTCTTACAGGGTTTATACAGGAATAAGTAACTCTAGTTTAATGCTTTTTATTTCTCTTAAAGCTCTCAGAAAAACGTTTAATGCCATCTATATATCTATCTATATTAGGGGTGGAACGGTTCACAAAATCCACGGTTCGGTTCAATTCACGGTTTCATGGTCACGGTTTTCGGTTCGATATATGTTGATTGTTACCCCGAAATCCCATCAAAATTTATGAAAAAATCCCCCCAAAAATTATGGATTGTAATTATTTTAAATGATCCACGGAAACCCTGGATCATTTCCGTATGTTTTGCTGCTTTGAATTTAATCATCTCGCGCATGCTCTCTACCATCTCCAAGGAACTCAGAGGGGAGCGGACGGGAGCCACAGTGGAGGCTGCATGCTTTGCTTTGAGCAGCCGGTCTGGAGCGCAGCGGGGGTTGCTGACGGAGTATGAGGGATTTCGAGGTTAGCATGACATGTTGGTCATGTTGCTGTTAGCATAAAACGTGTTGCACAATGCTCGCACACTGTTGCATTTTATCCACAACTTTCTTTCCGCCGTCATCATAGGTCACTCTAAATGCAAAGCGCTCCCATACAGCAGACCTATAAAGTGCTGCTGGCGCGTCTTCCAACTCCTGTTCTTTCCCACTCCCCATTCCGACAAAATTCTCCACAACAACTGATTTTTTCCCTGCTAAGCTGCTTCGCTTCTTCTTCTTCTTGTTTACTACTGGTGGTTGGCTTTGGTCGCAGTACCGCCACCTTCTGCTCTGGAGTGTAAACAATTCGCCTATGAGAAAAAAGAGCAGCGCATGAACCGAACGAAACACAAGCGAATCGAACCGAGACAGTCGAACCGTACGGCTCGGACGGTTTTCATAAATCGTCCCATCCCCAATCTATCTATCTATCTATCTATCTATCTATCTATATATATATATATATATATATATATATATATATATATATATGTGTACCGTTCGGTTCGACTGTCTCGGTTCGCGTGTGTTTCGTCCGGTTCATGCGCTGCTCCCTTTTCTCATAGGCAAAGCAGAAGGTGGCGACCAAAGCCAACTACCAGTAGTAAACAAGAAGAAGAAGCGAAGCAGCTTAGCCAGGTGTAGCAGGGAAAAAAAGCAGTTGTTGTGGAGAATTGTCTCGGAATGGCGAGTGGGAAAGAACAGGAGTTGGAAGACGCGCCAGCAGCACTTTATAGGTCTGCTGTATGGGACCACTTTGCATTTAGAGTTACCTACGATGACGGCGGAAAGAAAGTTGTGGATAAAAGTGCAACAGTGTGCGAGCATTGTGCAACACGTTTTGTTTACGCTAACAGCAACATGACCAACATGTCATGCTAACCCCGAAATCCCTCATACTCCGTCAGCAACCCCCGCTCTGCCCCGCTGCGCTTCAGACCGGCTGCTCAAAGCAAAGCCTACAGCCCCCACTGTGGCTTTGTCCGCTCCCCTCTGAGTCCCTCGGAGATGGTAGAGAGCATGCGCCAGATGATTAAATTCAAAGCAGCAAAACATACGGAAATGATCCAGGGTTTCCGCGGATAATTTAAAATAATTACAATCCATTATTTTTTGGGGGATTTTTTCATTAATTCCATAAATTTTTATGGGATTTTGGTGTAACAATCAACATGTATCGAACCGAACCGAAAACCGTGACCAGAAACCGTGAATCGAACCGAACCGTGGATTTTGTGAACTGTACGACCCCTAATATATATATATATAAATATATAAATAAAATGGCAAAATCCTTCGCCATCTTTATCTTCTATCTTAAACATTAATTTAATAAAATAACAATTGAATGACTTTTAATGACCCACGGAAACCCTGTCTTAAGAACAGTAAGTAAAATCAATGTGACTGACTTACATGACTTAGTAAACTGATGTTATGAAATGCTGCATTATCATGGAAACTATAAGAAATATCAAACTTGCAAAAACTGCTAAACTTCTCCCATCCCGTTTTAAAGCAGCTTCTTGTTATAGAAGTTGAAATCTATTGTTTTAGTTATTTTTATGCCGACTGCCTTAATCAGCAATCAAACCTTACCCTTGACTGTCTCTTATGTGAAGAAGGGTTAGATTTGGTTCTTTTTAAAGCAGATGCTGATACCGTTTATTCTATCATTAGTCTAACCAATCCCTGATATGTGCTGTCATTTTTTTGGACCATTTATGCAGCAGATATTTCATCATGATAAAAATTAGGTGGTAATAAATATTTGACGTCTTAATAAAAAGTAAAAAATACTAACATATTAAAACAATGGAGAACAAATGCAGGGAGCAGCAATGCATGTGCTGCACCTGATTTGCACTAATGAATAGGCAAATGCATTAACATAGTGGCAATAGAACTAAAAAAAAACAAAATGTTAACATTGATCCAAATATTGTCCAGCCGATGGATCAATCCATGTGTAATCAGTTGAACAACTTAATGAAAGAGGATTTAATCGTCTTCACTTCAGGCCTTTCTATATTTAAGGGATCTTACCTCTGCTTAGCTTCCTCACCCTGCTGATTGTTTGGAGCATCCTAAAAACAAACAACATAGTCAGGTTTATTGTACAGATTCTGCACTAAGATTACACAACACACAGCCAATATGTTTGATTCCATTATTAATATAATGAATAAAATAACGAATTATAAATACCATGTGGCACTGAAACTGCCCTCTAACTTAGATCTATCTTACTGTATTTATCACTGAGATGTAGGAATCAAGGTTTCATTGACCATACTTGTCTATGGATTCCTTCTAAGGTCTGACTCGCTAATGTCAATTACCAAGGAACCAGATTTTGTTTAATACTACAATTTATACAAATTTTGATTTAAAATATGCCTAGTTAAAATAATGAACACAAGAAATCATCATCTTGGCCTTCTTTTTGATAGATGAAAGCATGCCTCCTTAAAAAGGATACATGCATAGTCACATTTTATGCCTATACAAAGAAAGAAAAAGAGTCCTGTTACGATTAAATTGTGTAATCTACTCCAAGCATCTGTCCTACTAGGGTGCTTATAGTCCTATTTGAGCCTCATAGACATGGCACCATCTACAGGTAGTACTGGCCACTGATGCTGCTAATAAATTCTAACCCAGCTGTTTCCCAGCATAGCTGAAAATTAATTCCTCTTTGGATTAAACCTCCTCTTGCACCTTTCAAAGACTTTATGTGGACTTTTTTTGGTGACTCTGCTGGGAGTTCCACACTTAATCCACGCTTGTGTTTTCACCATTTGTTTTTTGACTTATTTTTAACAACTGTTTTTAATCATTTCAAAAAATGCTTAAGAAAAACATAAAACAAACCATTTTAATAATTCTAATTTCTTTGCTAGATTAGACGTGGAGAAAATTGATAATAAATGTAAAAAGCTTTTTTTTCCCCCCAAAGCTACCTCCAGGTTAAGTTGGAGCCCAAAATGAAACAGCACTAAAAAATATTAATAATATATAAAGTCATATTCTCCACAATTTATCTAGATGGGCAACAAGAAAAAAAAAGGAGCTGCTCTCTGTATTTCATGAAGCATATTTCCAACAAACCTTTGTCTGTTCTACTAGAAGGAAAAAGCAGTAGATAAATCACTATGAATTTCCAGTGCAGGGCTGTAGTTCTGCATTGCTGGGACATAAAAATCTTTTCTTTTTTTTTAAATCAACTAGCGCATACAATTGAGAATTTCAGGAGGTTTAAATGAGAGATCTCCCCAGTCCAGTCTGCCCCAGGATTTTTCCACGGGTTGTCAAAATACAATTAACGTGGGTTTGACTGATTTGACAGAAACGTCTTGCTTGTTGTAACTAAATATCTACCGAGACCTGATACTATAAATAAATAAGCTAGTAGCGTATCAGCCCAAACACAGAAAATGGGCTATTTATATAAATCGTTAATATTTTTGTGTCAGTTTCAGGTTTCAGGGGGTGGGTTTGAGCTCAAACAATCACACCAAGCTAGCACTAACGTTTATGCTAACGGAGGGGAAGCCATGCAGCTTGACTGAACTACACATTGTATTTTATATAATTCTGTAGACAACTTCAATGCATTTTCAGCGTTTACTACAACCACATTGTTAGCAGTGAACTGACTAAGTCCAGCATCTCCTAATAAGGAGGCCTTCAACACGTTTCCAGCTCCTGCTCAGCCCTTACCGCCTGCTTCGCCTGCAGCTCCGCCATTCTCTGCCGCCTTATCGCCTCCAATTCTTCGTCTGCCATTGCTGCTTAAAGCAGAGTAAACCTTCAAATATAAAACAGGATAAGATACTGTATCCGAAATGAACACTCCAAGCAAGAAGAGTCTAGGCCTTTCCAACACAACCAGGACACGATAATCGAACGCAGAGAACAATGATCCCGCACTCAGGGGAGAGCGATGGAACTTCTTCCTCGTGTATTTTATTGGCAGTTGGCAAACAGCTTTTGAGGCGCATTACCGCCACCTTCCGAAATTGAGTCTGGGACCAGTCAGTAAAATCAGTAATGGAGTAAAGTATAGATACCTAAAAAGTGTACTTAAGTACAGTAACGAAGTATTTGTACTTTGTTACTTGACACCTCTGTAAAAAAGGCCTTAATAACAAAGTCTGGTCCATTCCCTGCTAATATTTCTTTGATTAAGAATTGCATTTTTTGTTCTAAACATTTAGCTTTACAGTAAATCATCGCTTCTGGTTTTTATACTTAATACAATAGGAATTACAGGCTCTACAGTTTCTAATTCTCTGTTCAGTCCTGTGTGCCCAAGTCTCAAATGGGACATAATATCTTCTTCCTTTCAATTCTTTTTTTAATTTCGAAGATATATATTTCCCTACTTTCCTCTGTAAGTTCCAATAAAATCACCTTTTCCCAAAGTTGTTTTTTTTTCTTTGATAATACATTTCCCTCTGATTTACTTATTTGACATGGAAATCTATAGCTGTTTCACAAGCTCCCTTCTTTGTAAACATATCTACTAGCTAATTTCCCTCTACTCATATATGAGATGGAACCCATACAAAAAAAAGCTTTCCTAGAACTGAACAGTCTATATAAAGTTTGGTTGATTTCTAAAAGATTGTCTTGAATCTGATTTGTTATTTTGGATACCATATAATGCACCTCTAGAATCTGAAATTATTAAAGCTTTCTCTGAATTATTGTGCTCTCTCGAGTTTAATAGGTAAAGCCAATAATTCTCCATTTAAAACAGATTAATTATTATCATTATTATTATGACTCTTTTGTTCTATAAAATTCCTAAATCATTTATAACAAAATAAATTCCTGCTTTGCCCTTTATCATTTTAGATGCATCTGTATATATTGCATCATAAAATAAGACTCCCGAAAATATACAGTAGTTATTAACATCTTTACTTTTATACGTCTTCCATTTCAGCAGATTTAAGTCAACCTTTACTTTGTGAAAAAAAACATGGAATTATAACAGACAACAGACTTAGTTCTAATTCAGTTAGACATGTTCTTTTACAGCCCTTTCTACCATCCACAGAAAACTAGAAAAGTGTTTTAAGACTCGCTCTTGACAAGGATGGAAAAGCTTTTTCACAGGGAAACTTTCACTCTATCCCTGCAAATGTGCTTAAAAAAGCAGTTATTAATATCTTCTCCATTTCAAAGGCATTTCAACCACTTCTACCTTGAGAGATCCACAAAGCTTGAGCCTGAATAATGTCAAACTTTTTTTAGATTACTTTTAGCTGCCAATCTATACACCACAATAATCAATCACCGATCTAATCAGTGCTACATAGATTGATTTTTGCTCCCCAAACATGCCCTCCTAGACATCTCATCATGTTAATTACCATCTTGCATCTGTCTACACCTTTATTCATATGCAATAGCCATAACAGCCCAGAATCAAATCAGATTTTCCAAAAACAGACTCATTTACCCTTTCTAAATTATGCCCATACAAGTTAATATTTTTATTACTTATATTTGTCTTGTAAAAAACCCAGGAAATGATGTATGTTGTATTTATCAGACGGTTACAGTGACGGTTACAGTGTGTGAATCTCAAAAAAATTATGCTTTCAAATTTCACACAAGCATTAGAGCTTTCACACAATAAATGATCCTTTTTATACATTTTTGATATCTTGAAATCTTAATCTTTTGAAATCTTAAAAAAATTACACATTCTGACAGTAATGAAAAAAACATATTTGTTTTTGTTATTCTTGATCTACTTACAATATTTCAACATCAAAATAAAAATAAAAAAACTACCAGGAGTACACTAATTAGTTATCAGCCCTAATTTCCTTTACTTTGGAAGATCAGGCTGACGTCTACGTCTTATCTACCTTTGCAAAGGTCTCAAAATAAGCCACTGTCAATGCTCTAAACTTAAATTACATAGAGCGTCAGCTTTTGTTTCTTTTATTGTCTCGTAGGTATTGTTTTTTTTATTTAAATAAGATTGAAACATTGTAAGTGTCTATTGTAGTCGAATAAACATTCATAAAAAACAGTGTTGGTGAAATTAGACTTGCAATTTCATCCTTAATAACATGTTTTTATAGTAAAGAAATCCATATCATAAACATTCATCACTATTATACGAATTACGTTTACATAATAATAATGAATCATGATGGAAGTCAAAAACCGTTAACACGTTTGAATAATGTAGGGAAAACAATCTCAAAGTTAGACCTATTTGTGTGTTTTACACCAGATTGAGTACATGTGAAGTTTATTTCTATGGTTGTAATAAAAAAAAAGATTTGAAGTTGTAAAGCTAATTCTCTTGGAGAAAATGAACATTTGCTTCTTTCATCACTTTGTTGCAATGACCATAGCCTACTATGTGGAGTAATCAATGCCTTTTTTCTTCAATCAGGCAGTGAGAAGTCAAAGGTTGAGGCGATTGATCACAAATCATCTCTAGCTCCCCCTGTACGTGCTGTAGGAGAAACGACTGACAAGCAGCGGCACATGATACCTCTGCTCCGAGTCAGTTATAGTGAAAACAATCTGGGGGGTAAGGCAGAAATAAAATAATTACTGACATTTTTTTTCTGGTTAGATTATACCTGTTCATATCTAGAAGGATAAACTGTGATTAAAATACAGGCGTTCCTCACCTCCACAAAGGGATAAAATGAAGTCTGTCCCATGCTGGCCCAGTACTGACCAGTCTCAAAGTTCAGCTTGTACACACCAGGTTTAAACTGCTGCTGTGTGATTAGTCCCGGACATCGACCATCACTGTTAGTGCACCTGTTGAAAAAGTCTCTTTTAAGATGTATGAATAGAAAGAAACATCAGAGTGACTTCTGACGTAACAGTAAATACTGAAGCATGGAAAGGGTTTTACCCAGTGGTAACCAGATGCCAGCCATTGGTGGAGGGGTCTTGTCTATAAAGTCTGAGGGTCATGTTTGATCCTGGAACACCAAGTGCCGTGTTCAGCACATGGGTGGTTAGAGGGCTAGGTGAGTCTGACATGGCTGCAGTCTGAAACAGAAAATGATTTGTATTATTTATTTACTTTTATTCACATAAATCATGCTCAGATGAAAAAAATGATCCACTATTTAAGTGCTTAATCTCATTAAATTATCTTTTGCTCAAAAGGCATACAATCCAGTCATACCTTACATCCAAATTGTAACAATTAAAATGCCAAAGAGTCATGTTGGTAAAACCAAACTTTTATCTTTACACAATCAAAGTCTTCAGACTTAGTGCTGGTTTCTTCTCTATTAAACAGAAATAGCAAATATTCTGCAGGGTTCTGGAATCTCAAACACTAGAAATGATCTTGATAACCAAACAGTTCAGATTTCAAATAAATATCTTTAGAACATCACAGGATCTGTGGTCACCCTCAATTTTACAGAAACATTGATTCATTCAAAGTTTCTGTAACTTTAGTTGCTGGTTGCAACTAAAAATAACCTGAGACATAATTCTAAAGCTTTAAATAAATAGATTTTAAATAGATACTTACTTCAAAGTTTGGTTTTTGATGCAAAGTTGTTTGCTGTTTAATTTTTAACATTATCTAGCATTCAAAATACTGTTTTTTTTATAACATAAAAGCAGAGATGATAAAAGTATTAATGTTTGTTACTCAAGTTGAATTATAAATCCTACTCCTTATAAACACTGTAGAAGTTAGAGTATCAACTTAAGCTTTTTACTCAAGTAAAAGTGTAAAGGTACCATTTTTAAAACTAATTAAAGTATAAAAGTAAAAGTTATACAGGACAGATGTGTAAAACTTGATACTAGTTATTTACTACCCTATTAAAGAAAAAAAATTATAAAATTCAGTTATTTCCTTTTTTTAATTGTTCTTAGATTTATAACTAATGGTAACGGTGTCAAATTTAACTTTGCATCATCTGAAAAACAATCCATTTAGGCATGTGCGGAGCAAAAAGTTGATGCTCTACACCAAATAAATTGTCTGGATGAAACAATTGATTCTAATGGTTTTTATTTCGTTTTAATACCAACAGGTCATAGCGACAATAAGCTTAAATGAAACAAACGGGTCTATTTTTAAAGTGTAAGAAGTAGAAAGTAAAGATAATTGTAAAAAAAAATTAAGGAATACAAGCAAAAAGTTATCTACAAAATAATTACTCCATTAAAGCATAGATGGCCAAAATTTCTACTAAAGTAAGATAACAAAGTATTTGTTCGTTGTTATTTGTCACTATAAAAGATTATACATACATTGAGTCAAGTATTAAGTATTATTGAAAGCTTTCTACTTACCTTTCCTCCAGAGAGAATGTGACTATTCAGTTGCTGCAGCCTGAAAGCGCTCATGTTCACTTATTAATAACATCTTATGCAGGTCAATAGCTTTAAGCGCAACTTTTTATTTGATTTGATAGTTTGAAGAAAAGTTTTACTCACGTCACACATGTAAAGTCCCGTTCACTACCTCACTCAGTTCAGCTTTCAGTACACAGGAACTTATCCTTCTGTCAACAGTAGGCCTGTTGTGTAAGAGTTTCCTTTGGCCACACTGTCATTCAGCTCTTTGAACTCATGGGAGGGATGGGAGAGCGCAGCCAGTTGTTATCAACAGAAGGCTATACTGACTCCGATGACACCAATTTGTTTTAAGCTTTGTAATAATTTCAACTTTTGAAGTATTGTCAAAAAACAAGCTTTTTAAACTACCTAATAATTGTAATGCAATGAGAGCAATCTAGTCTGTTTCTATTTGTGCTTCTAGGATGAATGGTTGAAGGTTGGATGATAATGTTTTCTTGACATTAATGGAAAAACATTCATCTAATAATCGCTAATCCGAAAGGACAGATCAATGTCCAGAAATCACAAACTGCATGTCCATTTAGTTTTAGGCAGCAAGGTGGTTTTTTTTTCTTTGCCTGGGGAAATCCTCTACTCTACTACTGTCCCATAACAAACTACAGTACTGGGTGGGATCTACATGTTGGAACAGACTGCAGCCCCTACAATACTCCACACACAGCAAAGGACGGAACAGTTTTGCTTGCATTTAAAAGCTCAAATAGTGTATCATCATATTCTAAGATGTGAAATCTGCAGATATAACTTTAAAAATATGTCACACACTTGAAAGGACACTTTAATGGAGAACATTTAGATTCCTTTCTCCCATATAGCATTGTAGGACTTGGCACCTTTGAACACATTTCTTTTTCTTTATTAAAAAAGTTAAATAAAGCAATTACCATAAAAAAAAACCTATCTAAAAATAAAATAAAAAAAAAAAAATAAAAAAAAAACGCTTTTCCAGCATATTCAAGCTGTATATTTTCCCAATGTGTATAATTTAATTGATGATATTCAAAGAGTATTATAAGCATTAAGTTGGTGGAGGATCTATAGTTCATTATATCAGCTGCTGTATGGATCAGTCCTTTTCATTCTCCCTGATTTATCTCAGAGATGCTCGTCTCTTAAAGAGACAGCTGCTAGAGAAAGAGCTGCAGCTGCGCTTGCTGCTGTTTCCAGTGTTTCTTGAAATAAATCAGCTTGATCAAAGCTTTAAAAATGCAGCTAAAAAATGCTTCTGAGATGTTTGGTGCCACAATACCTTTTTACTATTTTCATCTTTTTTTTTTCATAAAATCACCATAGAATGTAATAACTATATGTACACTCAATAAAAAAACCTTTTATTCCAGGCACTAGAGGGAATTTCTCCCTTTTGTATTAACAAAAGCCGATTAATAATGTAGGAAATCAAAGGATAAAGACAATCAAATATTTGTCTTTTAAAAAGTATCATACAAGAGGTGATAAATTAAGTTATAATTTATACTGAACACAATAGAGCATAAAGTACAGTGTTAGAGATTTGGGCTTTCAGACATTGTAACTGCCAAATATGTAGATAAGATAAATAATAACATTTTATTTAGACATCTGAGGCAGAAAAAAACAGTTTGATCAAAAAAAAGATGAACAGCAACAAACTGATCAATCTTCAGAATAACTAATAAAATAATAATAACAACCGTCTCCTTTCCTTACATATTTCTTAGTTGTAAAAATGTTTCTACTTACTGTAAAAATGTAACTTTATTTTCATCTTAAGGTTTTGTGTATCAGGGAATAACAACAACATTCTGACATCTTTATTGCGACACAGCATAAAAATAACTTGACAATGTGTTATTTCTGCAAGTAAAGCCCTCCCATGGGTTAAGATTTAAAAGTAGCACCTAGATGCATCACTGTCTGAGACCACCACTTTAAATCAGGAGCATATTAGTTATTGTAAAAACAATTATTCAGTTAAAATCATTTCAGAGATCTTCCCAGGGACAGACTTCCCAGCAAACGTTGTCCTAGGTTTGACTGTCAAATTATCTAAAAATGACAGAAAAAATAAAAAAACAACCCTCACAAAAAAAAACTGTTTAGTTTATCATATGCTAAAGTATATGATAGCTTAATGTAAAAAAACAAAACAAACAAAAAAACTACAAACTACAAAAAACTACAAACTACACTGTTTGCTAGGAGAAATAATTTTCATAAAAATATGACAGAAAAACTATGATTTTACCAAGCTGCACCCCAGTGAGCTACAACACAGAAATATTGGTCAAATGAGACCAAAGGTGAAATGTTTGAACATAGTGAACATCAATATTTGATAAAAGTCAAACAAAGTACATCAGCATATATGCCTTTTATATACTGACATGTACAGCATTAGAGATGTAATATATTGGATTTGTTGTGCAGCAGAAGTTCTTGAGCACAAAGCAGTCACTCAAGGTATAGTGGAGGACAGAGATGGCAAAAGTACTCACTTTCCGTACTTGAGTAAAAGTACAGATACTTGTGTTAAAAAATACTCTGGTAAAAGTGGAAGTACTGATTAAACTTCTTTACTCAAGTAAAAGTAACAAAGTACAGGCTTGTAAATTTTACTTAAAGTATAAAAGTAAAAGTAGAAACCACTTTTTTCATGCCGTTGCCTACATTTTAAATGGATGTCTGCCAATAGGACTAGATCTCCGTTGTGTTCATTTTCAATCATCTCGTCGTCCATACTACTATGCTAACGCCACCGCCACCAAGCTGCAATGATTTGCCGCAAATGAATACCGCCGAATCTGTCGATTCATCTTGTAGTGGTGCGTCAAATGCAACATAGATTCCCATCCAATTAGATTGAATTTGGTATTGATGACGTGAAAAATAATAGAAAGCACAGATATTTGTGTAAAAATGTAAAGGAGTAGAAGTAAAAAGTCGCCATAAAAATAATCAGTAAAGTGAAGTAAAAAAATCAGAAAAATCTACTTGAGTACAGTAACGAAGTATTTGTAATTCGTTACTTCCCACCTCTGGTGGAGGATGTTCTTTTTCCAGGTGGATCATCAAAACAAGTGGTCTTCCTAATTGTTATTCATTCTGGTGATATGTTTACATAAGGCCGTCCTACGTGCTCGTCCCCATTTTCACTTACAGGTGGTGAGTTTGACATGGTGCAAAAATTGCAAGTCTTCTTTTGAAAGTAAGCTTTTAGGAGCGATGCAAACAGCAACTTTTAAACAGAGCCTGCCCGTGTTTAAAATGCTTAATAGGCGTTTCCTCTCGGGAGCGGGTACAGGGTTGTGCATGTGCTTTTTTTTTTTTTTCAAAGTGGAGAGGGTGGTTCTTTTTTCAGAAATTTGTGAAAATCCTCCACTATACCTTGCCATGACTCCATAACCTATTAAAACATTTTTTTTTTAAGTCAAAGTCTGTTCAATAGCTAAGGCTCAGGTCAAAATGGGCCATAATATAAAACATTATTCCTAACAGAACATTCAATATACAAAACAATTACTGAAACAGAAAAAATATATAACAAAAAAATCAAACATTTCCCATGGCTCGTAGTCCAGACCAAACCCTGTTTCATAAAGTGTGGTTAGACCTCTAAATTATCAAGCATATGTAAACATCAATAAAAATAACCTGAAGTATTTTTGTAAAGCTGCCAAAAAATATCCACAAATGATGAGAAAATTGAAAAGGGACGGCTGGCTAGCTCATGTAGTGTTAAAAAAAAGTAAATCTCATCATTTTATTTTTACTAAGTTACAGGCATTTGGCCCGGTAGCAGAAAGAGAGGTCCCGGCAGAGTTGACTACAGACTTTTCAGGGAATCTCATTCTCTCGGTCTGGTCACTCTCCTTTTCTGCAAAAAAAGTAACTGTTTGCATTGGTCTGATTTCTAGGACAATAAGGGTTTATTATCATTAACCCTATCAAGTGGTAAGTCACCAATCCTGCAAACAGGACACCTGGGTTTGTATCCCAGCTAGGGGGAATGAGTTGCCAGTGTGGATCCTCAGGTACGACCCTTCATGCTAACACCTGCTTTGGGGATTGGTTGCCTAGTGGCTATGGCATTGCACATGGATCCCATAGGTTCTGAGTTCAAGCCCCAATTCCACAGACTACCACTCTGGGTCCCTGAGCAAAGACCCTTAAACCCACACTGCTCCCCAGGCGCCCAACGATGGCAGCCTACTGCTCCCCAAGGGGATGGGTTAAATACAGAAAGGGAATTTCGTTGCTCTGTACTTGAGACCGTGAAATGACAATAAAACAATGGGAGAAAAAGACATACAGAATAAACCAGTGCAGTTTGTGCTGCTAAAGCCCACAATGGGATTTATTTTTCAATGAATAAAAACTCAGTCTATTTTTCTGTATTCCTAAGGATGGATCTAAATCATCTCAGAACTTGGAAAAGACCAGATATTGTTTCTTGTGTGCTGATGTGTAAAACACCTGACCTAAAAATGAAATGGACGCTCTAGTTACCATGACCTCATGCACTGCTTCTGCTGTGGGCGTTAACTTGAAGGTCTGTGTTTCTGTTCCTCCATTTTTGGCGCTTTATCCAAACCTTTCACATTTTCCTTTTTTTCTTCCTCAGATTCAGAGATTTCACTTTTTATCTGTGATAAACAGACCTGAAGACAAAGGGAAAACAAAAAAAATATTGACTATCAGCAGAGAATGATATAGCAGAATTGTCTCTCTGTGGAAAAAATAAACAACAAAGAGTAAAGTTTCCACATTCTCTTTTAGGTAAAATAAAAGAATGCACATACTATGTGATCATCATCATCATCGTCATCCAGCATCTTCCTGTTAGGGCTCTCATCATAGACCCAGTGATGGGAGCTGGCTAGGAAGGGGGAAATGGAATGCTCCAGGCTGCTTGAAAAGCGATCTTCTCTTAGGGCAAAATCTGGTAAACAAGGTTAAACAGAGGCTCTGTTCAATTTACACAGTAAAGTGTAAATTGAATAACCAAGAATAACCACATCTGAGATTTAATCAAAAGAATAAAGTGAGTAAAAACCTTTCTTAAACTGATAGCCAAGACGTCGCAGCGTGTTTCCAACAGTTTGCTTACTAACTGTTGTCCCAACTGCCATCAGATCATTGACCAGCTCCTCCAGTGTAGTTGTGGGCTGATCCATCACCTTCTTTACGATCATCCTGATCCCATCAGGTAAGATCTTGCATGGAGCTCCAGACCGAGGGCGATTGATGGTCATTTTATACCTCTTCCATTTTCGAATAATTGCCCCAACAGTAGGAACCTTCAAACTGAGCTTCTTGCTGATTGTTCTGTAGCTCATTCCAGCCTTATGCAGATCCACTATCTTGTCCCTGATGTCACCTGACAGCTCTTTGGTCTTGCCTAATCTGTGGGAGAGGCTGGAATGAGATGAACAGATTCTATGATCAAATGAGCTTCATTCATCAATAATTGGCAGGTTTTCAAAACATTGTAAAAATGAGAAAACTCTTTCAGATCATGGTACTGTTTCTTACAATTAAATGATGTGATCAACTGAGGAGAACTAATGGGGAATCGTCAATTGACAAACATTTTCCCCCTTATTCTGCTCAGGAGGCATTCATAAACCTTTAACCAGAATAAACTGTAAAGAGTTATAAATACATAAAAAAACACAGAGGAAACAAAATCAGAATAGTTGTATGAAGAAGTGAAAGGACAAGGTGAGCTGTAATGAAGGGTTTGTGGTTGAGTGTTTGATGCAGAACAATGATCTATGCAGAACTTGAAATTGATTATAGTTGAAATTGAAACAATAATCTTACATAAAAGCTTAAAGCATAAACACACATGCGCAGTAGCATTTGATTATTTATGGATGTAGGTTATTCAATCAACAGGACATTAATAATTGGCAATCCTTTTGGGGAAAGCCTAGTCTGATTCGGAGAGACAGCATCCATCCCACTTGCATGGTGCAGCTCTTCTTTCTAGGAATCCGGCCAAATTTATTAGTCTTTCAAAACTCTGACCACCCAGGGTGCAGACCAGAAAGCAGAGTCGTAGTTTAACACACGTCTCTCCAGCTTCTCTACTGTTACCCACTAGAGACTGACATTTTTTCGGGAATTCCACGGGTCATGGGATTCCGGTGGGATTCCCGTGGGATGGGAGTCAGTATTAGTAACGATCACGTGATTGGGACAGTACAGGATTAAACATTAACGGGAGCAGACAGGAGCGGGAGCAAACCAATAATAACTAAAAAAAAAAACTAGGATCGATGCCAAAAAATAAAATAAAATAGAAAGAAAAATAATCCAGTACTGGCGCGGCGCCGTCATTTTGTAGTTTTTTTCCTTGAAGCCTACACTATAATGCGAGTCAAAAAAACTACACGACCCAAAAACCAACAGTGCTTCCGCTCTGAGTTTTTCACCCACACTCAAAAACAACAATAATGGGAGTGGTGCGGGAGCGGGAGTCATTCTGAATGGGAGCGGGATGCGAGTGGGAGTCATTTCACCAGGAGTGGGACGGGACAGGATTTAGATTTCTACTCTGGCCCGGGATCGGGATGGGACACAATTTGTTTCTGTGGGAGTGGGATGGGACAGGAGTGAAAATCAACTCCCGTGTCAGTCTCTATTACCCACTCATTACTCCATCCAGACACTGTCTTGCCCACGACCGAAATCTAAAAAATTAGAAAAGATTCCCAAAAGAGTAAATCATAATAATTTATTTAAAATCAAAATTACTCCAAATTGGGGAAAAAGTTAAAACGATTAAATGTGGTTTATTTAACATAAGATCTCTTAAATCAAAAAGTGTGCTAGTCAATGACTTGATTTGTGATAATCACATTGATTTATGTTGCCTTACAGAAACCTGGCTGCAGCAAGAGGAATATGTGAGCAGAAATGAGGCTACTCCTTCTAGTTATTTAAATGTTCACATACCCAGAAGTTCTGTGCGAGGAGGAGGAGTAGCAACAATCTTTCAGTCTGACTTACTGATTACTCCAAAGGCAGTTAATAACTATAACTCTTTTGAACATTTAACCCTTAGTTTCCCTAATCCATATTGCAAAGCAAGAAAACCTCTTCTTTTTGTAACTTTGTATCATCCACCAGGTTCTTACTCTGAATTTTTAGATGAGTTTTCAGAGTATCTCTGACAGACTATGATGACTCTCCCACTATGATGACTCTCTGACAGAGTCATCATAGTGGGGGATTTTAACATCCATGCTGACATTGAAGGTGATAGCTTAAGAGAAGCCTTTAATATTATCTTAGACGCTATTGGCTTTGTTCAAAATGTGAATTGTTTATTGTTTGTTAAAAAAGACCCCCATTAGCTGTCACCTAAAGGGAACAAGCTAGTCTTCCTGTGGTCCACAAGACGAAACAAAAATCACTTAATTAAACATTGTAGGCATTATTGCAGATGTCATCAGAAATCATTCAGATTAGTGCAGAGCTGCACACTCTGAAGCAAAATACTAGAGAGAAAATCGTGCTCCACAGGCCTACGGGAATCCTACCTAGTGTGGAAACATAGTTTAATGCTGTATAGGAGGACCCTTTGTAAAGCAAGAGCAGCATATTTCTCCTCATTAATAGAAGAGAATAAGAATAATCCTAGATATCTTTTTTAATACAGTTGCCAAACTCACCCAGAGCCATAGCTCTGTTGAACCGTCCATTCCACCTGCACCTAGTAGTAATGATTTTATGGGATTCTTTATAAATAAGATTGATCTTATTAAAAATAAGATTATTAGCACTCCTCTAACTATGATTGGTTTATCTCTAGAAGGTGAGGCAGCATCTGAGGTAGCAATAGAATCTGAACCGGGTTTAGACTGCTTTGATCCAGTAGAACTTTCTTATCTAAAATTCTTAAAAAAGTAGCTGCCAGACAAATGTGTGACCACTTACACCACTTGACTTTTTAAAGAGTTTCTGTCCGCTTTAGAGCACTGAAACAGCTCTGGTGAAAGTCGCTAATGATATTCTCATGGCCTCAGATAATGAACTTGTTTCTGTACTTATCCTGTTGGATCTCACTGCTGCATTTGATAAAGTTGATCATAATATTCTTTTAGAAAGACTTGAACATTTTGTAGGATTTAAAGCACAGGTGTCAAACCGGTTCCAGAAAGGGCCGTGTGGCTGCAGATTTTCTTTCCAACCAAGCAATAGCACTCCAGACTCCATTCATCTCATCAAGTCATCATGTTCAGATTGGACTCCTTTGATTAGATGACTGGAGTCTGGTGTGCTATTGCTTGGTTGGAAAGAAAACCTGCAGCCACACGGCCCTTTCTGGAACCACTTTGACACCCCTGATTTAAAGAAACAGCACTTGCCTGGTTAAAATACCACAGGGATTAGTGATAGGACCAATTCTCTTTTCTGGATCTAAGAACCGTCCTGTTCTGAACTGTTTCCTTGACCTGTCTCAGACTCCTACCTATTCACTGAGGCTGCTGCATCCTGGACGATCTGGGCGGCTCCCGCCACATCTCGCTGGCAGTCCATCGGATGGATCCCACCTCACTCCAGAGGATGGACTTTACTGTTTAACCAGGTAAGTGACTCACATAGATAATCACCTCCCGTCAGATTATCTTGGTCACTTACCTGTGTTTCTCTCCCTAACCAGAGTCCCTGTGATAGATCCCCAGCTCCACGTTCTGTGTTTGTTAATAAACATTTTGAAACTTCCCACTGTCTGTCTGGCCTCAACTTCTGGGTCCTACATTCAGATAACCTAGTCTTTGTTGTGTTTTTATAACATTTGACCTTTAGACCAGTTCAGTTTGGCTACATCTTACCTTTGTTTTGGTCTCTCATCTTGGTGATTGTTTGAAGGACCCTGAAAAGAGGGATACGTCAGAAATCAACACACACACACACACACACACATATATATATATATATATATATATATATATATATATATATATATATATATATATATATATATATATATATATATATATATATATATATATATATATATATATATAAATAGGGCTGGAAACAATGAAATTATAATAAAATTAAAATACAATTACAATAATATCGGGTTAGTTGTGTTTGTAGCCTTATTATTATTATTACGATCTGCATTATTATTCCTTAATAACAATATAAATAGTTAAAAAGAGCCTAATTAGTGTTTTTAATGCGTTTCAATAAATGACATCCCTATAGTAAGGCTCACCCCGCGCTGTGTCTCCTGTTCCTCCGCTGCTTGCTGCTTTCTTACCGCTTGTAATTCTAATTCCTCTGTCATAGTTGTTTATATAAATGAAGGCCTACAAACATTAAGGAGAATATCATGCTATTTCATATTTCTCTGGGTAGGCAACAAGCTGCCCAAATCCAGGAACCTAATCAACAACAGAAAGTATTTATCGAGCAGTCAGGCCAAAGTAATGGAGCACAGAGTGTTACGAAGAAGAGCGACTTCATTTCAAACCCTAAATGACCCTAAAAGACTCAACAATGAAACAGAAATACGTGCGGTTCCTGTTTGATATTAAACAAAGCGAATAGACAGTTTACCTAAGAAACAAAGCCATAATATCATAATATAATTAATATGCCAGAGCCCAATTTTAAGCCATTTTACCTGGCTGATATATCTGAATTAGAGCATTTAAAAACAAATAATAGCACCTGTTCTAAGTCGGGTTTTTACGCTCTTCTTACATAACTAAGGTTAACAAAAATACATTTAAAACGACTCACATAATTATACAGTAAAACACTTATTCTACTTTGGTATTTTATTGCTAAACTTTAAGGTAGAGACCTATTGCTATAAACCTGAATAGTTTTTTGTGTTTTCATGCTCCTTAATTGTAAATATTACTCCGACGTAATAAAATAGAAATTAGATATTCTACATGCAAAAAAAGAATACTTTCATTTAAATACTTTCAAATGCTTTATTCAGATCATCATTCGCTCGATTACAATACTTCATCATACCGTTGAATCTGTTAGAGAATTTTTTTTTATTGTATTTTTACTTTGTTTAAGCAAGATAAACAAATACATCTGGAATAGTCGCTCTTAATGCAATGATAAAGTTTAGGATAGTGGCTCTCTAGCTCCCTCTATAGGTGCTGTAGGAGAAACGACTCAGCAGCAAAGGGACATGGTACATCTGGTCCGGGTCAGTCACAGTGAAAACAATCTAAAAACAGATGAAGACAAATAAATTAATACATGAATAAATACATTTGTTAATCTAAAGTGCCATCAAAAGATAAACAATGTAAAAGAGAATGAAAATGTTCTTATGTACCAACAATAATAAAGCAACAAGAGCTTGAATTAAACAGAAAGTCCTTATTTTCTTTATGGTTAGAGTTTCTACTTCCAGATTGAAATAGTTATGTAGTTGGCTAATCTTATTACATTCGTCTACCAAACAACTTGGGTCATTTTGGCCTAGTGGTTAGGGGATTGAATCCTGAGGTTCTGAGTTCGAGCCCCACTCCCACAGACTGTCACTCTGGCTCCCTGGGCAAAATACACTTAAGACTGCTCCCTGGGCACCCCATGATGGCAGCCCACTGCTCCCCAAGGGAATGGGTTTAATGCAGAGGGTTGATTTCATTGCTCTGTAGTTGTGACAGTTGTGACTCTCTATTTAGAAGCATGGGATGTTATTCACTAAATTACTGGCATTTCTTTGCTACCAACAAAACTATACACATCTCAGGAATGCATTTGAAAAAATATGATTGGCCTTTCCTTACCTCCACATAGGGATAGAAGGATGCCTGTCCCATACTGGCCCAGTACTGACTGGTCTCAAAATGCAATTTGTACACACCAGATTTGAACTGCTGCTGTGTGATCAGCCCGGGACATCGCCCATCCTTATTTGTTGTCCTGTTGAGAAAGCATATGTTTTTCGGATTCAAGAACTAAAAAAAAGTAGTATAATTTGAGGTTTGGAGATTTTCCTTAAATATTTCTTTAGTTTTTGAAGGCACTGTTTCAGATCGTCACAAAAAATTCAAAATTAACACAATAACTGATGTCTTTTATTTAGGGATAGAACATATTCGAACCAATATGCTTTGTAAATAAATTTTCCCTCTCTTCATTGTTAATGGATTGAAAGCCTAAAAATATTAGGCTACTGAATAGCTGACAGATTCTGCGAATAGAGTGCGAATAGAGCACATGTGAAGAGGCAGCACAATTTGAGATGACTTTCAAGTGTTGCCGCATTTGGTCAAATGTTTTGGAAATGCTCAGATTCATTATAGCTTCAGCCTGACCTGAATGCTAACCTGGCTTAAGCCAGATTGATCTGTCTACTTCAATTTGAATTCCACACAGTATTTTGTGGACCTAGTGAATTCGCAAATCTTGCGACATTTCATCTTGATGGCAAGATATTCTGAATACTGTCAGATTTCTAAAACCAAGAGCTTCGTTAGATAAAAACCTGTCTAATAACATGAATAATATTTAAAAATTTCAAATTTAACACATCCTTTCCATACTAAAAGCAAAATAAATACAAATAATAGGTTCATTTCTAAGGCTTTGGACTAACATAAAATGGTGATTAAACTTTGTAGTGGGAAAAAAGTATTCAACTATTCAGCCCTGTTCTTCCTGGGCAGCGTTTGTTCCCCCTTACTTACAATAATGTAAAGTTGTCAGAGTCAAAACAAATTACAGACACTTTGGTTAAACAGTAACATGCTATGAATAAACCTTGAGAAACAATCTGGTTTGTTATGGTAAGAAGTATTTCTTGTATGCAAAACATTGTGTGGCCTTGCAGGGGAAACTGACTGAGTGAAAACTTTATAGTGAGGAAATAGCATAAATCAATATATGAAATAAGAGAAACTAAATTTTCCGACCACATTTTCCAGTCATTTCAGTAAATTTTTACATAACCTACAGGATGAAGTTGAATCCTTTAAAAATTTGTTTTCTGTTACATATGGCATAAAACAAAAAAGACATTAAACATTTACTTTAAACATGGCTGTGTTAGAATGGTGGTAAAGGGCTGATTTACTGCTTCAGGTTCTAGATTACATGTAATTATTAACCCATGAATCATGGTCACTGTCATATGTCTGTTTCTCTTAAGCATAAGCTTAAGCACACTTGCTATACAAACTTACTTTGAAATGTGTTTGTCAAAGTTAGGACTTAAATCTCTTTGTGATTCATTGGTGTGACCTTATAATGGTTAATCATGGATGAATACTCTCCACTTAGTTAAACCAGTTATGTAAATATGAGTTGATCTACGTTCCTTCCCAGTAATTTTAAAAGCTTGGTGGCAGTTGTTGCTGCCAAAGATAGTGCAAACAGGTGTTAAAGGTATAGTGGAGGATATTTGCGAATTTTTTAAAAGACCTGCCCTCTACACAAAAATGCCCTTGCACAACTCTGCACCCGCTCCCGATTAAACTCGTGCGAGAGTGTGCGTGAGCCCATTTCTCCTCATGCATGCTCTGTTAAAAGTTGCTGTTTTGCATTGCTGATACAAGCTTACTTTCAAAAGAAGATTTGCAAATTTTCCACTATGTCAGTCTCACCACCGGTAAGTAAAAATGAGGATGAGTACGTAGGACGGCCTTATGTAAACATATCACCAGAACGATTGACAATTAGGAGGATCACTTATTTTGATGATCCAGACAGAAAAAGAACATCCGCCACTGTACCTTTAAGTATAAGGGATGTTTCTTTTACCTTAGAGGGAAATTGGTCTGGAAAGTCTTATTTTATCTTAAAAGAAATTATTTAAAATGTCTGTTTTTCTGCTGTTTTTTTGGTTGAACGATGGAAGATCTGAAACATACAAACTGAAAAATGCATAACTGGAGGCAAATACCTTTTCTTAGCTTTCTATTTTAAAAAAGAGGTTACCCTGTGGTTATCAAGTGCCAGGCACTGGTTGAAGGATCTTGTTGAAAAAGCTTGAGGTTCACGTTTGAGCCTGGGACACCCAGGGCCGTGTTCAACACGTGAGTGGTTAGAGGGCTAGGAGAGCCTGACATGATTGTGATCTACAGAAACAGAACACACAGCTTGCCTTTATCTTTTTAACTTTTCACATAAAAAGATAAAAATTATATATATATATATATATATATATATATATATATATATATATATATATATATATATATATATATATATATATATATATATATATATATATATATATATATATATATATATATATATATACAGGTGCTGGTCATAAAATTAGAATATCATGAAAAAGTAGATTGATTTCAGTAATTCCATTTAAAAAGTGAAACTTGTATATTATATTCATACATTACATACAAACTCATATATTTCAGATGTTTATTTTGTTTAATTTTGATGATTACAAATGACAACAAATGAAAATCTCAAATTCATCATATCAGAAAATTAGAATATTACTGAACACCAATAAAAACAAAGGATTTATAGAAATGTTGGCCAACTGAAAAGTATGAACATGAAAAGTATGAGCATGTACAGCACTCAGTATTTAGTTGGGCCTCCTTTGGCCTGTATTACTGCAGCAATGCGGCGTGGCATGGAGTCGATCAGTCTGTGGCACTGCTCAGGTGTTATGATAGCCCAGGTTGCTCTAATAGTGGCTTTTAGCTCTTCTGAATTGTTGGGTCTGGTGTATTGCATCTTCTTCTTCACAATACCCCATAGATTTTCTATGGGGTTAAGGTCAGGAGAGTTTGCTGGCCAATTAAGAACAGGGATACCATGGTCCTTCAACCAGGTACTGGTAGCTTTGGCACTGTGTGCAGGTGCCAAGTCCTGTTGGAAAATGAAATCTGCATCTCCAAAAAGTTGGTCAGCTGCAGGAAGCATGAAGTGCTCTAAAACTTCCTTTTTTTTGCC